TGTTCGACCATAAGGCAATATAGTTACCCTCTCTAGGATGATAGCGGATATGGGAGAGGGAGTGGTGAGGGCAAGAATGGAAACGCTTCCAAATACTTAAGGCATTGTAGGGACCTTGGAGTCAGGGAACCAAGCCTCGAGAGGGCACTGATATTTGAGACGAACCACCTCTTGCCATAAGTGATCTGTTTGGGATGCAAACCTCCACCACCACTTACTAATGAGTGCAACATTGGTCTTCCTAATGTTGCGAATGCCCAGGCCTCCAAGGGATTTCGAGGTGCAGACCGTCTCCCAAGCAATGAGATGAAATTTCCTTCCATCAGTGCCAGACTAGAGGAATTTCTAATGAGTTGTTCAAGCCGATTTGCCATAGAGATCGGGATTGGGAAAAGGGACATTTGGTAAATAGGGGTGTTAGAGAGAGTTGCCTTGATCAGGGTTCGTCTACCTGCAGGGAAGAGGAAACGACCTTTCCATCCTGCGAATCTCCTATCGAACTTATCGATAATGTGGAACCACTAGCTAGCTTTAGGCTTCTTGATACATAGGGGCAAACCTAAATAAGAGGCAGGCAAAGGTTGAGTGTTGCAGCCCCAAAGACTAGCAAAAATGGACACTGACTCCAAAGTCATGGCCAGCCCCATCATACTGCTCTTGGCAAGGTTAATTTTGAAGCCTGTAGCCCATTGGAAGCATCTAAGAAAAATGCAAAGGTAGTGGACCTGATCAGGCAAGGTGTCACAAAAAAGGAGGGTGTCATCGGCGTATTGAAGGTGGGAGACCGAAGGTCCCCTGGGGCTAGCCTGGAAGCCTTTGACCAGGCCAGCATGGTACAGACCCGAAAGGGAACCACTGAATACTTCAGTAGCAATAGAGAAAAGGAAAGGCGAAAGGGGGTCGCCTTGCCTCAGACCCCTAGACGCTTGAAACAGGCCCTTGGGTGTGCCGTTGATGATAACCGAGAAAGTGGGTGAGGAAATGCACCCTCTCATCCACCTTCGCCAATGTGCACCAAAGCCCATGCGGTGTAATGTCTCATCGTGAATAACCCATTCGATGTGGTCATACGCCTTCTCCCAATCTAGCTTAATAACCAAACCAGGGGTTTTTCCAAATGACGGGTATGAAGGCATTCGTGCGCCATAAGGGCACTGTCTAGGATTTGCGATCCTTGACAAAAGCGCCTTGATTGGGTGAGATAGGCCAACTCAGTACCTCATGGATTCTAGTGGCTAAAACCTTAGAGAGGATCTTGTAAGAGCTATTGACTAGGCTGATGGGTTTGAAGTCTTTTAATTCCTCCACACCTTCGATTTTGGGGATTGAAGCCAGGAAGGTAACATTCATGGCCCTATTGATCACCCCACTAGAGTGGAAATCAGCAAAGAAAGCCACCACGTCAGTCTGGGTGTCCCAAAATTGAAGAAAGAGAGCAACAGGGAAGCCATCGGGGCCAGGGGCTCTGTCGTGGCCTAAGGACTTGATTGCTTCAAGGATTTCTGCTTCTTCGAAAGGGCGTTCCAACCACACTGCTTAGGAAAGAGGTTGCAAACATGATCTACATACTTAGGAAAGAGGTTGCAAATATCGTGATTCCAAGCCTCAATAGATCCCTCTTCTCATTGAACTTCCACATCATGCCAGTGTCACAGCCTTAGCCTAAGGAAGTGTCCCTTTTATCCTTGACATTTCACCAATAGCCTCAAGCATGAGGTCCATGCATTGTGCTGCTGCGCATGGTGTCCAAAAGATACGAAGCTGCTTTTGGCTCAACGAATTAGAAACAACCAGTATAGGTGCAGGATTGTTTGTTACTCCTCGAATTGCATGTGCCTTCCCAACCTCTCGTCACCCTTATTAATCAAAGAATAAATATATTATGCATCGTGGACATTATCAAATGCATCATCAAACCTAAAAAACATATACCCTAAAGGATAATTCACCATCAAATTCATAAATCATAACACTGTTCTTATCACTCCATGAATATTTCGTTTTGGAGATCCCAAATTGCACCCATGCAGGCCTATGGGGCTTGAGACACTCCTAAGTAATACCTGCAACATACATCCAACAAGCAATATACTGATTTACTTGGGCTCTTTCATCCTTTTTGAACCTATTTTGAATGTAACCGGTCTCTTCTCTTTTTCTACAGTAACCTTGGGGTCATTAGGGAAAGAGGAATCCATAGGCCCCTCCATACAAGGTTTTTTAAACAGAATTCCTATTTAGAACTTTGAGAGGAACCCACTTGGGTCACTTCAGCTTGCCCTTCATTTTCATCCTTCTCATTATCCCCAAAAATATTCAACCCGGCCAGTAACTATGCGACGCTTGCCTCCCTTAATACCTTATAAACTTTTTTTTATTTATTTTCCGACATCCAAATTGTCAAGAATCTCTCACTAAAGGTATGACCCATGATAGAGCAGAATGGCGAGCCAAGATTCGTATAGCTGACCCCAAATAGTTGGGAAAAGGTTCTGATGATGATGATGAAATAGTCAAGAATCTCCCTCCTAACTTCCCCCGGTACTTCCTTACCTGGGGCAACATTCCCCTTAATACCGACAAAGTGTTTCTTCAACCTTTTATTACCCGCAATTATATCTCTACCACAAAATTTACACCATACTTTGTTCTTATCATTTTTATCTAGGCAGACCAGATTTTCAGCACTGATCCCACTTTCAGAAGAACCTGAAGATCACATTTCAAAATAAGGAAGGATTCTCAAATTTGGAGATATTGTACTGATCTTTGTTGCCTCATCTTCGATCCTCGATGTTTTTGATGTATTTTGAGCTCTATATCACCCAAAAAGTCGTCTTATAACATCCCTTTATGGTTCAAAATAATTTCAATAAAACAAAAGTAGCATTTGGGATGATTTCTCAAACTTCCAAATTTTTTTCAGTCCCACAGAATTTTTTACTTTTCCCTCTCTCTCTCTCTCTCTCAAATTTGTGAGCTAAAACAAGTTTGGGGGATTAAAAGATGCTCCCCCCTAACCCACCAAATAAAAGGGAAAAAAAAATATTTCCCCCTTTTGAGGGGTAAGCGATTTGGCTCGTTGCCTGAGGACATTTACCGAAGGCTTTGCCTAGGCAAGCACCTAGGTCTAGTGGCTAGATGCCCACTAAGGCTCCTGCCTGGACCGCTGCCCAGGGCCAGGTCCCCGAAGCATTAGGCAGCCTGTTTTTTCGAAGCACTGCCGCCATCTCTATCTCTCTCCCTCTCTTTCTTTCCCATTTGTACCAATCTGCTGCTCTTTCAACTATCGACTTCCTTCCAATTGTTTGACTTGTAATCATATGAAGTGATTGTTCTTGTTCTTCAACCTCAGACCACCCTTCAGTAACTTGCTAAAGTAATAGCAATCCATTTGAGTATGCTTTCTAACAATACCCCTTTTGCTGGAAGGATGAAGACTGTAACTGTTCAGAATAAGGCTGGTCTTATGATTCCTTTTGTTGGATAATTGCTTCAATGGGTTTGCTTTTCCGATCATCACACTGTAGAAAGAGATGTGATGAAGATGCATATCCCCTGTACATGTCTGGTTATTATTGCAGATTGGAAAAGAATTATGGTTAGGAATTTGAAATGTTCCATATTTGAAATTGTCCAAATTTTTACCTTTCAAATATATATATATATATATATATATATATATATATATATATATATATAGTAGTAGTAGTACTAGTAGACTAGTAGTAGTAGTAGTAGTGTTACGTTATTAGTAGGTTACTTACGTAACGTT